GCATATCATGTAGTTACATTCTTGCATTGGGATTTTGTGGGTAGATCCACTGCAAACCCTCACGAGACACAACTCGTCCACTAGGGTGACCTAGGGGTTTAAAGACTTGTTGCACATGCTAAGTGCAATCGTGATTCCTACGAAAGTGAGTTAGGTTTTATTTTTGTTTCTTTTATCTTTTTATTTTACTCGAGGGCGAGTAAAACTTAAGTTTGGGGGAATTTGATGAGCTAAATTTATATATATATATTAATAGAGAATTTTTACTTTGATTTTATTGATATTTGGATGAGTTTTATAAGATTTTGTTTGATTTTACATGGTTTTCATTCTTTGTGTAGGAAAGGATTTAATTGGAAGAAATTCTACTTTTTAGAAGTAAATTGAAGAGATTAGAGACTCGAGGATCAACTTGTGCAGAATTCGGAAGTCAAGAACCAAATCTGCTATTTTACCATTGAAGAAATTGCAAAATAAGGCCAAAAACCCGACACGGGTGTAGTGTCGACACATGATCCGGGTGTCGACACCATGCGCTAAACGTCCAAAATCACCTTTTGTTTCCTATTTTGTGTCAACACGTAATCCGAAGTGTCAGCACCACGCGATCAGCATCTAAAATTCAGTTTCCTATTTCTATTCCAAGTCTTCTATTTCAATTAATGTTTCTAAAATCCTATAAATACCCATCTAAATTCAAAATAAGGGAGCCTTGAGAGGCTGGTGGCAGCCATCTTTTGGGCATTCTTGGAGGTCAAGATAGAGGATTCAACAATAGAAGATCAAGGATTGCAATTTTCTTAAATTAGGTTTTATTTTTCTTTAGATATTTTTGTGTTTATAATTGTGATTTCGGATTTTATTATTTTTATTATGAACTGATTTATTCTACTAGGGTTATGATGTAGCCTAATCAATTTAATATGGATTTTGTGATTTTATTCTTTCAATTTAAGTTATTCGCGTGAGGAGTTTATATTATTGAACTTAATGTATTGGAAGCCTGATCATCTTTCAATTGATTTAGTGATTTATATATGAACTTGAAAAAGAATTGCGTAGATTATACCAATAATAATATAAACCGTGTGTTAGACTATGAAACCGAGAGGTAATTAGCTCACATGTGGTAATGGAGGAAGAGAAGAGAGTCAGTAGCTCCCCCTTCTTAAACTAGAGGTTTCCATAGAATTTAATGCTCATAAGTTTGTTTAAAATTACATAGAGATATGATTAATTTAACAAACAAGTGAAGGATTAGCTTGACTTGAGAAAGCTGGTTAATTAATTTAGGGAAATCCGCCATCACATGCAATAACATTCAACAATTTGGTAATCCAGAATTTATATTGATTGATTATGGTGAAGTCAATGCTTTAGTACCTCATATTTTTGTTAGTTTTATTTTAATTGTTAGTTTCTTTTTGTTATTTTAATTAAAATTCCATCTTTTCGATTGTTCAAATAAATTTAGATTAATTATTTTGGTACTTAATTAGACACAATCCTCGTGGGTTCGACACTCTTCTCATCATTATATTACTTGGAGCGACTAGTACACTTGGTAGAGTGATTTTAGTGCATCATATATGTATATATATAAGGAGAGATTTATTTATACACCACTTATTTAATATTTAAAAAAAATCGTGATAAATCTTAATTGTTGAAAATAGTGAGATAAATAATTAAAATTTTTTATAAGTGTGGTGATGCACCAAATACGCACTATTTTTAAGTAAGTAAACCTAATCAATTATGCAATATATTATAAGTGTGGTGATGCCCCAAATACGCATTACTTTTAAGCAAGTAAACTTAATCAATTATGTAGTATAAGATAAGTAAAATATCATTCTTTCAAGGATTATTCTACACTATCAAGATGATATTAATCTAGTCTAAGTTGAATTAACTAATTAATGGAACAAAGTTAAACTACTTAAACTAAAACTACTTAAACTAAAAGAATTTTTAAGTAAAAGAAACTATGAATGGGAAAGAACTAGGGTTTAGATTTCATTTAATTTTGAATTATGCAACTGTTTAATTAATATAATTTAAGTTCAAATGACAGTGTTATAGCATGAGATGGCAGATTTCCCTCAGTTAATTAACCAGCTTTCTCAAGTCAAGTTAATCCTCCACTTGCTTGTTAAATTAATCATATCTCTATGTAATTTAAAATAAACTAGTGAGCACTAAATTCTATGGAAACCTCTAGCTTAGGAAAGGAGAGCTCCTAATTCTCTTCTCTTCTTTTGCTACCACATGTGAACTAATTACCTCTTAATCTCATAGTCTAACACATGGTTTATATTATTATTTATCTAATTTACGCAATTTGCAATTCTTTCTTAGGTTCAAGCATAAATACTAAATCAATTGAAAGGTGATCAAGTTTTTAATGCATTAAGCTCAATAATATAAACTCATCATGCAAATAACCAATAAATCTTGAATAAACTGAAAAAACAGTCACATGATCCAAAAATTAAAATCCATCCAACCCTAGTTCAAGAAATTTAGTTACACATAAAAAAGTTCTAAACAGCCATAAATTCTATGGAAACCTCCAGCTTAGGAAAGAGCTTAGGAAGGGAGAGCTCCTACTTCTCTTCTTTTCCTCTACTACCACACGTGAGTTAATTACCTTTTAGTCTCATAGTCTAACACACGGTTTATAGTATTATTGATTTAATTTGTGCAATTCTTTCTCAGGTTCATGCATAAATCACTATTTTACATGGTTTTTCATTCTTTGTGCAGAAAAAAACTTGAATGCATAATAAAAAAGTTTCTAGGATTAATTGAATAATTTTTGAAAGTTGAGGAACCAAATTCAGGAAGAAAAGGTTCCTTTCGAGGACCTAAATGAATGAATCAAAAGTAATGGGATCAAAATCTCATCATATAGAAGTTGGAGGACTAGATCTGTTATTTTATCATTAAAGAAGTTGCCCGTGGAATTCGACATGCGTTTGGTGTCGATACCTACGTTATCGTGTCAACAGTATGTGATAAGCCTCTTTAAAAATAGGTACCAGGTCAAATAAACCAAAGTGTCAACAATTGGATTTTGGTGTCCACACTAAACGCACACCCTTTAAGAAATTTTATTTTTTGATGGTCTATCCTTCCTAATAGGCTTTTCTTTCACTCTATAAATACTTATTCAAAATCATAATTGGTAGCCTTTTTAGGAGATCAAGAGAGAAACAATTAAGAAAAACTTAATATTAAAAGAAAATCAAGATTTGAGATTTTACTTCGTTATATTAGTTTTATTTGTCCTTAAATTTGGCTTTATAATATTAAATATTCTTATATTTATCATAGGATACTTAATTTTTTTTCCTTTAATTATGAACTAATTGAGCCACCTAAAGTTACAATATAACCTGGTTAATTTGATATAGAATTTTATGATTTTTATACTTTCAAAACTTATTATTTGATACAAAGTATATATTACTATTCTTAATAATTTTTAATAATTGATCACCATTAAAATTGATTTGAAAAGTATAATTGAAACTGAAAATAGATTTTATGCAACAATTTTTAGTAATATATACAATAAATTAAACAAATGTTAGAAATGAATTAACGTGATTTATACAGCATTAGTAATAAGTAGACTTTATTTTCTATGCAAATTAGGGAATTTCAAGGAATATAACACCTATTTATCAATTTAAATTTACAAAGAGATATAGTTGATTAATAGGTGAAGATAAATTTGATATAACTTGAGAATATATATTGAATATGAAAAGAAATTGTACTATCATATGAGCAGTAAAGATCTTGGAAATATAATAATCTAAAATCTATTGTACCTATGATTTTGATGATTACAAAACACATTTGAGTGACTAATTTGTTCATTTAAGTGTGTAGTTGAACTTTCAAAAGATTGCAAAATTAAGTGAACTTAGACTACACTAAACTGGACCAAAAAGCTCGTGAATTGTGTACAGAACTAGCTGTAGAAATCTGCAGCTAGCTTTATGGGTGAAAGTTTTAAACCTGTAATTTGGCACGTGCGAAAAACGGATGCAAAGCCGGCTATATCTTTGCAACCGGGTGTGATGTTGCATTTAATGCACAATGATTAAGTTATTTAAAGATTCTTTAATCTTTTTAAAGTTGGATTTCCAAAGCCAACTTTACGTGTTGTAACCGACTTTTCAAGAAAACAGAATGTGTAGGAAATCCACAAAGCTGGCTCTAGATTTCAAAGCCAAGCCGACTCTGCTGACAAGTCTGCAACTCGAACTTACTCAATCTGTAGAGCATTTAATGACCCCCAATGGCTAGAAACAGCTATTTTCGACCTATGGGCTATAAAGTTAGTGGCAAATTTGGAACAAGTTTTAGGGCATTGTATCGAATATCTCTACCTACCAACTTGTGCCTTAACTTGAGTTTTTGATCTTTGAGTGATCTTTGCTTGTAATCCTCTTTTTTTTTCTACTTGTGTGTTATTTTGGGGGGGTGATTATTTCTTCAAGGGTGATTTGTAGAGAGGATTCTTAGGGTTTATCTTGTAAATGTGTGAAATTTGAGAGAAATACCCTTCTTCTTGTGAAAGGATTGAGTGACTCTTTTAAGCCACCCTTGTTTTTCTTTGTGGAGAGTGTGGAAGAAATCCTTGGTGAATGAAGCCAAGGTAGAGGACTAGGCGACTGCAAATGGTTGGAATGAACCTCTATAAAATCATTATGCAAGCTCTTCTTCCCTACTCTTTTTAATTTTTGTTTGGTGGTTGCAAAGAGGTGAAAATTTTTCAACTCCAATTCACCCCCCTCTTGGAGTGCATTGAGCCAGTGATTGGTATCAGAGTAAGGGCTCCAATTTGAAGGTTTAACCACCTAGGAGATTATCAAGAATTGCTCAATTTCAAGCTTCTCAACCATTGAAGGTTTGTCTACCACTAAGCCTTCTTTCTTTGATGGTACTAATTATAATTTGGAAGAATAAGATGAAGGTCTTCATGTTTACAAATGAGCCCAAGGCATGGATTGTGACTATGAAAGGTCTATATGTGCCAATGAAAGTTGTTGGAGAAAATGAGGTGCCAAAGGAAGAAGTTGAATGGAATGATGAAGACTTGGAGAAGATCAAGTTCAACAACAAAGCAATCAACATGCTACAATGTGCTCTCAATCCAATGGAAGTTAATAGAGTTTTTGGGTGTGATACAGCTAAAGAGATATGGGACATGTTTGAGGTAGCACATGAAGGAACAAGTTAAGTGAAGAAGTCAAAAATCAATACTCATTCACATATATGAGCTTTTCAAGATGAAACAAAATGAGAGCATTAAAGAAATGTACACAAGATTTAATGATATAGTCACCAATCTCAAGGCTCTTGGTAAAGTTTATCCCAATCAAGCATTGGTAAGGAAGATCCTTAGAAGCTTACCTAAGGTTTGGGAAACCAAGAAGACCACAATTAAAGAGGTTAAGAATCTCAACACTCTCAAGCTTGATGATCTCAATGGAAACTTGATGACATATGAGATTGATATTCAAGTTGGTGGTGAAGTTGAAGTAGTTGAGAAGAAGAAGAATGTTGCATTCAAGGCTAGCAGCCAAAAGGAAGAGAGTGAAGATGATGCTAGTGATGATGAGTCTAGCAATGAGGAAGACATCAAAAAATTAGTTTCAAAGGAAGTGAAGAAATATATGAAGAAGAGCGTCAAATGCTAGAGGAAGAATATGTAGTGATGATGTTGATAAAAGAAAGCCAAGCAAAAAGCATATCAAATGCTATGAGTGCACCAACGAGAGGTTGGATCAAGTGGCAAGCGGCTTGTTCCAGCTTAAGCAAGGTCTCGAGTTCGAAACTTTGTGTACGCAGCAGTCTTCGTTGGGAGACCCACCCACCATTCTGGTGCGCCACAGCTGGTCGAGTCCGGAGTAGTCGGGGTGAAGCTCCGGATACTGGGCGGGAAACCAAAAAAAAAAATGCTATGAGTGCAATAAGATGGGACATTATAGAAATGAATGTCCTCAATTGAAAAAAGGTGAGAGGAAAGATAAGAAAAGCATGAAGAAGAAAGCTTTTGTCGCCACTTGGAGTGATGATGAGACTAACTCAACGGAAAGTAAAAAGCTCTTTAGAGAATCGTGTTACAAATCTTTGCTTAATAGCTCAAGAGGATAGCAACAATATGATGAGGAGGTCAACTCTAACTTCTCTAGTTCAATTAATGAAAGTTCCTTTGAGTATTCTTATGATGATTTATGCAAAATTCTTGATTGTTTTATGAATAATATCAAGAAACTAGGGAATGAGAATTTTACTCTTATTAAAACCATTTCATTGCTTAAAAATGAGACTAAATCTCTTTAAAAAAAAAAATTAGGTTTTAGTTACAGAAAATGCCCCTTAAATGATGAGATTGCATCTTTAAAGAATGAGGAATCTAGTAATGCTTTGAAAAAGAAAAATGAGAACTTGAAAAAGAAAATTTGTGATCTTAAGAATGTGATTTCCAAATTTACCTTGAATGAAAAAAAATTTGATTCTATCTTAAAATCTCAAAGAAGTGTTTATGACAAAAGGGGTATTAAATTTGATTATTTTAAAAAACAAGACTTTTAAGTACTTTTGTATAATGGCAAGTCAATTCTTTAATCCTAAAGTTACTTGCTATTGTTATAGTGCAAAGGGACACTTTACTTATATATGTCATTTCAAGAGATGGATAGCTCAAGGCAAAGTGAAACAAATTTGAGTTCCAAAAGGAACTCTAAGTACCAACTCCCAAGGACCCAAGCAAATTTAGGTACCAAAAATGAAAATTTGATTTTGTTTTGTAGGTAAGATTGATGGCACAGTCATAAGAAGAGCAAAGTTGATCTTGATAAAGACTTATGCCTCAACAAGACTGTTGGAGTGAAAGTGCAAAGAAATAATTGTTTTGAAATGCTTTACTCGTGCTAAAATTGGTATCATTTATTTTATTGCCTTTATTCATTAAGTATAATTACATTAACATGACTAGTAATTACTTGTTTATGTGTGCTCACTCTTTGATACATATATTTGTTGAGTATGATATCATTTGATGTGTCTTTTCTAGTGTTGATACAACCTTGTTGATTGCTATATCTATTACTCTGATCACATTTACATGCTTGACATATGCGAATGATTAGATTGATTATTTGTCATATATATTTCATGATGAGCTCTTGATGGTATGAGTATTTTTTAATGTCATATATGCCATTTTGGTTATAGCACTTGGAAGTTAAGCATGACCTTAAGAAAAGCCTTACACTTGAAAGTTAAGTATATTATGAAATTTGTATACTTGCTTTTTGATGGATGATTTTGATGATATTTGATTATGTGTAAGTGTATGTCATGCACTTGATTGCTTGCATAGCCATGGTTGATTTCAATGAATAAGATTTTTGATATTTAGTATCATATGTTATGATGCATATAAAAATGATTAATAGTGTTGAATCTATTCATGTGGTGTTCAATGAGACTAACCTCATTTGCTCTAGAAAGAGTTGTGAAATTGTGATGTAGATGTTGTTGGATAACAAGGGTAAGAATAAACATCAAAGGCAACAGCATCACACAACCTCCACGAGAAGCAAGTGAGAAGAACAAGATTGAGGAGATGCAACAAGCAAAAAAACAAATATCATAATTCTACTCAAGAGAGAGATCCTATAAAGGTAATGTGATAAATGGTAAGATGTCTCTAGGGTAAGAAATATACATGTTGTACTTAATGACGACATTAACATTGATTTTGGTGCTATTGAGCTTTGTTGCAAAGAATTTTCTAAAGAAATGTTAAGTAAACTAGAAACGATTAAATGTATTGGAACCTCAAATGAAGTTATCCCAAAAATGAGATCTTCACCAATCAATAAGAGCATACAAAAGAGATGCACAGGCAATAGTCTCTCTAAAGAGGTATTCAATTACTCTAACAATAATGGAGGCGAACCTATCGATTTCAAACTCTTTATGAGTATGATGGATATATATTGCTTTATCTTGAGTGCACATCACATTTGTGTTATTTCATTTATCTTTTATTGATCTTTATGACTTAAATGATGAATGATTATACATTCTTGATATGATTTTGATGAGATTGTTATATAAGTCTGTTCATGCTTTCATGAGTTATTTTATTAAGGGGAAGCTTTTTTGTTTGCTTTTCATATGGTCTTCAAACTTTCTTTGTTACATAACAAATAGGAGAGAAAGAACCTTTTGACCTTCATAGTTGCTTGGAATGAGATATCTTTACTTATTACAAAGTTTTTTTATCGTGATAGATCTTTCTTTATTAGAAATCAACTCGGCATGTTGATTTCTAGTACTTGAAATGGTTTTTGAATTTGATGGGCTTACTAAAATATATGCAAATTAATGAGCTTGATCTCCATATTTTGATTAATTGTTGGTGCACACATGGATATATGTACAAGATTGCATGATTTAATAGTTGATGTCCAATTTAAACTTGGTAAAATAAAGGAAAATCAAATTAGTTGCATCTTCTTCAAAACAGCCCCAAAACTCTTGTTTTTGTCAAGTAAGGCTAGAACAACCGACTAAAATTTTTTTCACATCTGACTCACCTAAAGAAAAAAAAAATAGAATCTTCGTGTTCCCCAAAGTTAAGCCGACTCTCAAGCTAAAGTTGGCTTGCTTGGATAGATTTTACATAATCAGCCTTTTCTTTCTTCACATTCCATATTTGATTCTCTCCCAAAATTTGCCCTCATTATCTATGCAAATTTCTTAACTTATTATTATGACTTGTGGATTTTAATGGTATATGACTTTATGGTTGCCTATGATTTTAATGATTACAAAACACATTTGAGTAACTAAGTTGTTCATTTAAGTGTGTAGTTGAACTTTCAAAAGATTGCAACATTAAGTGAACTTTGACTGCACTAAACTGGACCAAAAAGCCTATGAATTGTGCAAAGAGCTGGCTCTAGAAATCTACAACCAACTTTGGTGAACAAAACTACAAAGAACCGACTTTGGAACCTACAACCAACTTTACGAGCGAAAGTTTTAAACTTATAGTTTGGTGCCTACGAAGAATGGACGCAAAGCCAGTTATTTCTTTGCAACCGACTGTGATGGTGCATTTAATGTACAATGGTCAAGTTATTTAAAGACTCTTTAATCTTTTTAAAGTTGGATTTCCAAAGCAAACTTTACGTTTTGTAGTTGGCTTTTCAAGAAAACAAAATGTGTAGGAAACCCATAAAGCCAGCTCTAGAATTTAAAGCCGACTTTAAAGTTAAAGCTGACTCTACTGACAAGTCAACAACTCGAACTTACTCAACCTACAAAGTATTTAATGACCCCCAACGGCTAAAAACAGTTATTTTTTACCAAGGGGTTATAAATATAATTGGTGGTAGATCTAGAACAAGTTTTAGAGCATTGTATTGAATATCTCTACCTATCAACTTGTGCCTTAACTTGAGGTTTTGATCTTTGAGTGATCTTGGCTTGTGATCCTCTTCTTATTCTACTTTTGTGTTATCTTGGGGGTATGATTATTTTTTCAAGAGTGATTTGTAGAAAGGATTCTTGGAGTTTATCTTGTAAAGGGATGAGATTTGAGAGAAATACCTTTCTTGTAAAAGGATTGAGTGGCTCCTTTAAGTCACCCTTGTTTTTCTTAGTGGAGAGTGGAGAAAATCCTTGGTGAGTGAAGCCAAGGTACAAGACTAGGCTCCAAGTAGTTGGACTGAATCTCTATAAAATCATTGTGCAAGCTCTTATTCCCTACTCTCTTTTTAATTTTTGTTTGGTGGTTGCAAAAAGGTGAAAATTTTTCAATTCCAATTCACCCCCCTTTTAAAGTGCATTGAGCCAACAAAATCCATATTAGTTTATTATAGTAAAATCAGATGCCTTAGAATTTCAACTCTTAATGTCATTTAAAATCAATTTAGTTTTTCTTTAATTAATTTTAGTTAATTAGTTCATTCAAACCATTTAATTCCAATTATTCAAATAAAATTAAAATTAATCAATTTTGATATTTAATTAGTATATAGTCTCTATGTGTAAGACCCCATATACTTTAGTGAATAGATTAGAAATTAGAGTCCTTTATCTTAAAGTTTGGGGATTAAATTGATTAGATTAAGAGTTTGGGGGTTGTAAATGAAATTTAGTAAAAGTTAAAGGATGTTTAATTCTATTATTCCACTTTTTATGCCATGTGGCACAATATTTACCAAATAAACTTATGGTTGGACTTAGAAGGCTTTAAAAAAGCCAGTGAGTCATCCTTTGAAAGAGTTAGAAACAAAAGCCATTCTTCTGCATCCTTTTTCTTTATTATAGTTGTCCTTTGCACCTTTCCCTCTTTTCCAACCAAGTGTGTTGTCTTGAAGAAGAAAAGTTTGGTGAAGCCCCCAAGCTTCCTTTGGAAGATTTTAGAATGAAAAATCCCTTTTTGACTTAAACACCTAAAAACCCATTTCTCTTTATCCTTTTGAGCTTCCACCAAAGAAAGGAGACTTTTGTAGATCTGAAGCATGGAGCAAACTATTTTAGTGACTTTCTTCTTCAACTTTTGCTATTAATTCATACTGTTCTCTTCAATTTGGTGCTTTGATTTTCAAGTAAGTATGAGTTTTAGTTACAAATTTAAGTTAGAGTTTTTAGTAGGTTATAAATCTATCATAATATATTAAAAATTAGTTTAAATTAGTGAGATTTGACTTTAAAACCTTAGTTTAAGAGACTTGTTGGGCATTACAAATTTTGTTAGAAACATACAATATTTTGGGGCTTGTGCGGAAATGAATCCATGATGTGTTTATTATTCATACTTGAGTTTATTGTAAATTTTATTGATAAATACTGTTGTGGACTTTATGTGCTTGCTTTGTGTGGTGATTTTTTACGAATCAATATGGCTAAATAATTCCATATGTTTATTCCAAATTTGGAGTGCTATCCTTGAATTTAGATGAGATATTTAAAGTGGATTGTTTTAAAAATGGAATTTTGTGAAACATAAATAAAATAATATTTTTATATTATTTTGAAAGTGTTTTGAATTTATTGGACATTTGTATGTGTTTATGGCTATAGAGTAAGTGGACCTAAACTTAAAGTTTGGGGTATTCAGTGGACCTTCCAGGGTAATTAGTGGACCTCTGCGCAGTAAAATGAGTGTCGTGATTAGCTCCGGTACAAGTATTGCTAACACACATTAATGGACTCTATAGCATTATGTGATTTTGTTTTCTGCATTTTGCTTGTAACATTACATTTGTGAGCATATGATTTTATGACTTGAATTTGATTTAAATGTCATTAGTTATTTCTTGACAAGTTTGATTGACTATGAACAATCTTGTGGTATTAAATTATTATTTAAATACTAAGATTTATAATACTATGTGACTTGTTTTAAATTATCTGTGTATAGGTCTAAGGGTCATAGGACCCAAATTTGTTGCTTGTTGACAACCAAACTTAAGATTTCAAAATTTTTTAAAAAAGAAAGAAAAATAATGAAAAATTATGTGTGAAAAATGTAAGAGAATGAATCGTTACTCGTCCAAATTATAAGGTGAGATAAATCACCTAAAAACAAGTCTGCACAGAGATTGGGGTTCAAGGGACTAGTTAATAGTGAGGAAGGGCATACGCACACCTCACAGTCTTTCGTATAAACACGATTGCATGCTTTAACATTGGAGTTTTAATTCAACTTATTCATTGTATTTATGTTTAAGTCTTAATAGGTAAACTTCAAAAGGATAAACCAAATTGCAACATTTTTAAATTTTTGGACTAAAATGGACAAAATCAAGAACATGCATACACCATGACCACAAATAACAATTAAATGTACTGATCTAATTAAATCCCAAATACGAGCAATTGATTTGAAAAGATTTGGAACTTTTGGACTAAATTGCTTGATTATGAAAATTTTGGGTGAAACTGAAATAAAGGAGATAATTTTGACTTTTAACTAAGATTAAAGAAAATTGATGACTGAAATTAATTAATTATGATAATTAGTTTTATTGAATGATTAATTCCACATTAATTAAAATTAATTAATTTCATTAATCATAAATTAAACTAATTATCCTAATCAATTTATCATTCTAATTATATATTTTATTTTTACCCCTTTATCT